CTCCAGACGAATTGATTTTCAGCCGCGATAGAGTCCAAAGGAAGCCACATGATCCTGTTACATGTCTGAGTTTATTGTGTGTGTCACCCTAGTGCCAGAAACAAGAGAGAACCACAGAATCCCTACTTTAAAAAAAACAAAACTAGAAAAACAGGATATAGTCTAAATTAGGGCTGCATGACATTGGAAAAACTGTCATTGAAATATTTAGTTTTATTCTGGGATATATGTATATTGCAATATCTTGAATATAATTTCACAATATGTTTTAAAAAGCTCCATTTGGCATAAAATAAACAATTTTACACTGATAGAGAGTGCATCTGCTGCATAAAATATAGTAAATAAAATACAAGGATAAATTTACACAGTAAAACACAGATACTAATTAAATAAACAGTGCTTTGTGGTTTACTAAGAAGATTGCAGCATTCAAAAAAGACGTTTCCTGCTTGTTCAAATTACTTACTTACAATGAGTTGAAACAACACAATTCTTAAGTTTTTTGGGGGGCAACTTAATTGTTGTATACTCAGTCCACTTAAATTTGTAAAAACGATTAAGTTAATTTAAGGGACCAACGCACAAACACCAGGCGTACAAGTAATATATGTAAAGGAAACACAGGCCCAATATGAGCCGTTTACATATATTTCAATTAATAAGGAAAACGAGTGCATATTTTTATCAACACTAATATTGGATTTTTTTTAAGTGTGTTCGTGTGTGTGTGTGTGTGTGTGTGTGTGTGTGTAAAACAATATAATTTGCACAAAGAAATTATGGGGTTCTACTCTTAAGTTGTTACTTTACCCCGTTTAGAGCATCATTATGGGGGTTTTACGTTATAACTAATGTGGTTCAAACGATGGATCTGCGACAGAAAAAAACTACAGGTTTTAGGAAACACTCGTCAATACATCGTTTTTTCCCAAACGGAAAAATCGTACTATGATAGGTCAGCCAGCATTTATGTCGTTGTTTGGGAAACGCACACCAGATTGCCACTTTTGTTTAAATGCCTGCACCTGCTGAAGTTACAGTAAACACCACTTGGAGGTGCTCATGCAAAAAAAAAACAGTCAAGGTGATGTCAGTTTCACTTTGATTCGATGAAAAAGATGATGCACGATAAATGTGGAGCTGCTTTTTTCATCGTTGTCTAAACAAAAGCTGTATGATGAACGCAACAGCTATTACAATAATGTCAGCAGGAGTGGAAAGTAGCAAAAAGGATTTGATGGCGAGTTTCATTTCATTTTCTTTTCTTTCATTCATTCTCTTGTCAGCTTAGTCCCTTTATTAATCCGGGGTCACCACAGCGGAATGAACCGCCAACTTATCCAACAAAGTATTTACGCAACAGATGCCCTTCCAGCCACAACCCATCTCTGGGAAACATCCACACACACACACTCATACACTACGGACAATTTAGCCTATCCAATTGACCTGTACTGCATGTCTTTGAACTGTGGGGGAAACCGGAGCACCCGGAGGAAACCCACCCAAACGCAGGGAGAACATACAAACTCCTCACAGAAACGCCAACCAGCGACCTTCTTGCTGTGAGGCGACAGCACTACCTACTGCACCACGGCTTAGCCTAGAGGGGTAGGGTCGGCAAAGGACCTCGAGCCAGGAATCGAACTCAAGTCGCCGTGAGCATCATGGTGCGATATGTTGGCGCACTTAACCACTAGGCTATTGGTGCCAACCACTTTTCTTTCATGACTTGCAATTTTATTTCAAAGCACCATCTAATGTCAGAAGGTGATTTTGGGCAATTACTCTGCTCATCGCCAATTAATATGGCCTGGATTTGAATGCAGAAAAACATCTTGAAAAACGCTGACAATAAACATGAGCAAAAAGAGCCTCGGTGTGTATGGGCATTTAGGGTTAAACTTTGCATGTGTTTTCTGGTTAATTATAAATCACAACTCGCAATTGTGACTATTGCAGATTCTCACATTGAGATATCGAAGCTAAAATTATGCATTGCACCGCCCTAGTCTGAACAATGTGGAAAGTGTTTTGTTTCCAATGTTAAGAGTAAAGAAAACAAGAGGGATGATTTCATTTATTCATTCCTTTTCTTTCCGGCTTCGACCTTCGTGCTGTGAGGTGAGCGTGCCACCCAGCTGAGGGTTGAATTCTTTGTGGATTTTTTTTTTTTTTTGCACGCGGGCGCTTCCTGGCCTTTGGGGGATATTTAATAGACATGTGCTTCTCTGACAAGATGTACATGACAATTACTTAATTGCATTTACGAATCGCAATATTTTTTCGGATGATCACCCAGCCCTACATCTCTGCATCAAAAAACATAACAAAACCATTGTAAACTAAAAATGTTGTATCCAACAACAAACATCTAAGCTCAAATTAAACTAAATATGTAGTCAAGCAAAAATTCTTGTAACCAACAAAGATGCATTTAAATCCAAGCGGAGAGTGTCCCGGTGTGTACGGGCATATAAGGTTAAATTTTGCATGTGTTATGAACTGTGATTTCCGATTCATTTTAATCACAACTCGACAATGTGACTATTGCAGATTCACACCACAATATCGATACTGAATTTATACACTGCACAGCCCTAGTCTGAACAATGTGGAAAGCGTTTTAAGTTTCCAATGTAAAGAGGAAAGAAATCAAGAGGGAGTGCTTTTGGAAGTGAACAACCTGCTATTTTCATCAGTGGAACAGTATGTTCCATATAACAATGGCACAGAAGGGATGTCATATCTTCAGCAAAACAGCCTTTCGACAGTAATTGACTCTTACTCCGAGAAGCCAAACAGACCAAGAGGTCTTTAATCCACAAGAAGAGATCCAATAGAGGAAAACAGTTCTGAAGACACCATAGGAATGCAAATAGCTCATTCCAATTTAAAGTTTATTCTCTGTAACAAAACTGAGTTCCAACAAAAATATATCTGACTTGTCGAGACTGTTTGTTGGCCTTTGGAAATTGGCAGCTTTGGTTGCGGCAGTAGGGCAAACCACAGTCACAGGGGCCAAATTACATCCAAACATGACTCCAGCATGTCCAAACATGGAAGCTTAGGACCGAGAGTACAGCAGTTAGATGGTTTATTATCTAGATATAGTATAACTATATAACTATAGTTGATGTCATGTTACAAACATTTCAATGTCTAGGGTACTATTTGAGAGTGGTGTGCTGTGCGGCTGGTTTCATAAATTTTTATAAGGAAGAAGAGACCTATAGCAGTGACAAATCTAATGGGGGAAGGAGGGAGGGCAGGTCATGTCATGCAAATATGGGCTGAGTGCCCATTCACTAATGTAATGCTAAATCACTTTCTGCAGTTAATTCCATTGTATTATTGGTCTAATTTAATCAGATGATCTTTCAGAATGAACACCTAAAATCAAAATCATAACCAATGAATAAACATTGACCAGACAACGACAATTCCATATCCAAGCAAACCATATATAGAACCAAACATGCACTCAACATAAGACAAATCAAACATGTACATAAAAATAAACCGCACCTAACCAAATCAAACCCATACCCAACAGAAATTTACCCAAGCTTGAACGAAACATCTACCTAAAGAAAACTAAAAATAACCCAAGCAAACCCATATAAAACTATAACAAATCTGCAGTGAGGTATACAATACATGCATATGAGGGCAGGGCAATTAAACAAAGCCAATTTATATGCTAATTTAGTCAGTAAAGACTATTCTAGTTAACCTCCAGTATGTGCTTTCAGATGTAGCAGTAAGTTTACTGACAAACTACACAAAATTGCATTTGAATCCAAAGTTGATTAAATCAGATGATAATGAAGTCAAGTTAATCATTCTGTGATTGCGTAGATTATTAGTGAACTATGGCTCTGTGTAGTAAATGCTGCTGCATCTGCAATCATGTGAAAATACAACATAAACTGTTTTTATTCAAACTCTTTTCCTTATTTCAGTCAAGTGTTTATATTAGTAGTTGTGGCCATTTATGGTTTTATGATTCTTAGTCACATTACTAGCTTAAAGTTTCTGCACAAGTGCACCCTCTGGCCTTTGGAGGATATTTAATAGACGTGCTTCCCTGACAAGATGTACATGAGAATCGCTTAATCGCATTTGCAGTTTCATTTCGAATAATCACCCAGCCCTATGTGTAAAAAATAAAAATAATAATGATAAAAAGTAACAGACTAAAAAGCCTGACCTACTTAAAACAAAGCTAGCTAACCTAACCAAGACCACATCCAACTAAAGCAAATCTGACCTTGCTCTGATTCTAAACAAAGCATTCACATACCTAAACAAATCAAACATGCATCCAACAAAAAAGCCAAGCTCAAATCAAACTAAACGCATAGTCAAACAAAAATACATGTAACCAACAAAAACACATTTAAATCCAAACACCTAAAAACAAATACACACCTTGTACAAAGTCTGGCCAAAACAAACCCATACCCAGCTTAAACAAACCTATACCAAACCAAAACAAACATTTACCAAACCCAAACGGCAAATATGTAATCCATATGCATATAGGCAACAAAACAAAACCCAAGAACCATCAAAACCAACTTATCCCCAACCAAAACAAACACATTCACGTGATTGTACACATATTATCGACGATAAATCGCGTTACAGTAACGGTAGCGAATGTAGAGAACGCTCTTATATAATAAAAGGACAGTTTTAAAGAGTGTGAAGGTGTTTATGTCAGCGGAAAAAAACACAAACACAACATACAGCGCACACACACATTGACACAGCTGATCTAGGGCGCTTTGTTCTGTTCAGAAAGCGACAACTAACGCATTAGCAGCGACAAAAACAAAATGTTACAATGCATCATCTGCACATTATCAAAGCACATGCATGAAACAATGAAACAAACACTGCAGCGCCGTGACGTCACGACTCAAACACAGATGACATTCAAACACTGGTGTAATCACGCAATTTTCTATTCTTTTATTGGATATATTTACCTCTGTCAGGTTTCATGTTGGTCACAGACACCGTGATCCCCTCCAGGATGCCCGCGGTCCGTCTTCCGTCTTCAGATCTTTGTTTAGACTTAAAAACTCGTCCCTTAGACATCGGTTAGCTATCGATCTGGCACACAGCCATTCGGATATTAACGATCTGAACTGTGAGATCAAGCGTGATCTATACGCCACTGTATGTTAAGAGTCCAGCGGTCTGATGAACTAGTCCATCAAAACACCAGCGGTCTACTTAAATAAACACGCAATTATCATCCCTCTTCTCTATCTAGATAAATATCCCGCCTGCCAGTCGCCTCATTGCCGATGCCTAAACGAGCTCCAGTGCCAACACACCAGTCTCTCCTCTGCCACTGATCTGCTCAAATTAAAGCCACATGAGACGCATCGGGATCCCCGAGATCATTTTCACCAACCAGCAAGATCGGACCCTGGACTGGTAGATGAGACACTAACAAGGAACCACCAACATCATCATCATCAACATCACCATCATCTACTCCAGACTGGAGAAATGTTACGTGGCTGTGGCGAGTCTCACTTTAGCCGACAAGAAGTGGCTCATTTCTCTAAACCCCCTTCTTTTTCGACCACTTGATCATAAACCCTCCCCATAAAAGCAAGAAAACACTGGTAACGGAACGACTAGGTTAACAACTAGTTGAAACTATCTGCACGACGTGACTGGACTGGCAGAACGCGATGACGGACTCTAAACAGAAGTTTTCGAGATGTCTGAACGATATCTCGGAGATTAAATGATCAGCAGGGACAAAGCTCATGTTCTCTCTCTCTCTCTCTCTCTCTCTCCCTCTCTCTCTCTCTCTCTCTCTCTCTGCTTGTCAAAACAAATGCAGGAGGACAGCCTCTTAAGTCATGTGTCCCAACAACAGCTGGTCCCGCCCCCAGGTTGGACGTCACTTCCGCCCCACGGCACTCGCTTGAACCTGTTACCGCGAAACTCGTGGATGTAACCCCCTTTGGGTTAACACAAGTTTACAAGAGTGTGAATGCTTAAATGCAAATGTTTTTTTCTGCTGGAACTCTCTCACCGTGAAAAAAATACTATAAGTAGCTGTAATTAATGTTGTGGTAATTCTAGTTGAAGAGGTGATACAACAATTATAGTAATATAAACGAATAACCAATAGGCCTACTGTATATTTTCTACATATGGGCTGTATATACAGTGCCCAGCATATATAAGTACACCCCTCACAAATCTATCTTTTAAATTCATATTTTTTTATACCCATACCCAGCAAAAACAAACCAAAACAAACATTTACCCAAGCTAAAAGGTCAACAAAACAAAACCCCAGAACATTCAGAACCAACGTGTTACCATTCAAAACAAACTAAATCAAACACATTTATGTGAATATACACATATTATTGACAATAAACAAAGTTACAGTAATGTTAGTGAATGTAGAGAACGGCCTTGTATAATAAAAGGACAGTTTTAAAGAGTGTGAAGGTGTTTATGTCAGCAGAAAGAAAACCCGAATACAGCATACAGCGCGCGCACACACACACATTATCACAGCTGTTCTAGGGCGCTTTGTTCCGTTCATAATCTGTTGTGGTTATTCAAGTTGTAGAGGTGATACAATAATTATAGTAAATAAATAACCAATACTGCAACAGCTACATTTTCTATGGTCCTTAGCATTTTTAAGTACTGTACACCCCTCACAGATCGTATCTTATATTTTTAATCTATACTAGTGGTTCTCAAACTTTGGTACGTGTACCACTAGTGGTACGCGGGCATCCTTCCAGTGGTACGCAGAGGAATACATGCAAAATATGTTTAAAAACATTATTACTAATGATTTATATATGAATAAGATGACTATATTCATAAGGTCCAAGCAACATTTCTAGGTTTTGACGAATAGGCTACTACTTTACATTTAAGTCCAGAAGTTTTTTTTTTTTTTACTTTTTAAGAACAGTAGTCTACCATTTTAATTAAACTTTAAAAGCAAATTTTAATTAAAACTTTTTTATTTTATTTATTTTTTTGTTTTTTTTTCTACCTGTAAGCACAGTGCAGTGTTAATGTTCAAACTATTTATAATGTTTAAAGTGGCTCACAATAATAAATATTCTTAATAATAGGAATTAATCTGCCTGGTTTTTGAACTGTGCAGAGCTGTAGCTGCTTAATTAGGCGTACTATGCTACTGTATTTCAATACTGTTCATTATGGTGGCACTTGGAGAGATAATATTTTTACTGAGGTGGTGCTTGATGAAAAAAGTTTGAGAACTTTTTTACAAGAACTGATCTATACAATATTATATTTGTGCATATACGTTAGATTAGTCAGTACTGAAGCTAATTCTGGAGCTTGTCTAACAAAATAATTCAAGATAATGGTCCAAAAACTAGAACACCCAAATTTATATGTTATAGAAAAATATTAAAGACAAAAAAAAAAAAATATATATATATATATATATATATATATATATATATATATATATATATATATATATATTGCTTGAATTTAATTGTATTATCTTTCTGTTTCTAAATATGTTTGGTGACTAAAATATTATTTTAATAAATATATCTGTTTGATAAATCTGTTTAGTTTAAATGCACCAAAATACATTGCCTATATTCACTGAGAAGTAGATAAAATATTTTTTTTTTTTTTTAAGTGAGATGTACTCAATTGTGCTGAGCACTCTATAGGTTAATATTTCTACATGTAGGCTATTTATTACTGTCTATTACTTGTAGATAGTAAATATTACAGTATTGCTGGAGAATTATCTTAACTGACAGAATTGTAAATACTGTGCAATACAGTAAAATATAATATATTTTAGTAGTTTATGGTTCAGCCAAAAATGTTAAATGATTGTCAGAAATAAATGGGTACAAGATCTCTTTAAAATGGTCAGTTACTGGATTTCCTAAGAGTGTTTTTTGTTTAAGTCTTTTAACATTAACTTTAACATTTCTTCCAATTTTTAAATAAAATATAACATTTGTATATTTTTTTAAATAACAGTTATGTAATAGATATGTGTAATAAATATAAAAAGTTGCATATGTTGCAATTAAAAATCAAAGTTATGTACTAAATATTGTTTTCAACTCACTGATATAAAACAGCAGTGCAGAGGCGCAGTGGGTAGCGCTGTCACCTCACAGCAAGAAGGTCACTGGTTCGAGCCTCGGCTGGGTCAGTTGGCATTTCTGTGTGGAGTTTGCATGTTCTCCTCATGTTTGCATGGGTTTCCCCCACAAAGACATGCACTATAGGTGAATTGAATTAGCTAAATTGTCCGTAGTGTATGAGTGTAAAAAAGTGTGTTTCCCAGTGACATGCTTAAAACATATGCTGGATTAATTGGTGGATTATTCTGCTGTGGCGATCCCTGATTAATAAAGGGACTAAGCCAAAAAGAAAATGAATTAATGAATGACATAAAACATGTTTGTTGTTTAAATAAACTAACAAATGATAATAACAGAGGATAAAACAAAACACACACAACTTTAAATTGTAAATCCAACTTGTCTTAATAGTAAAACATTCATTCATTCATTCATTCATTCATTCATTCATTCATTCATTCATTCATTCATTCATTCATTCATTTATTCATTCATTCACTCATTCATTTTTGGCTTAGTTCCTTTATTAATCAGGGGTCGCCACAGCAGAATAAATCAGTTCAAAACCTAAAATAAAAAACAATAATTTCTAAAATCTATAAAATTAATAATAAAATAATATGAACTAATTAACATTGTAGACAATTCATAATATCAAATAAACGTCAAAGGCCATGTAAACCTTTTCTTGTTTCTTTAAATGGATTGTTGACATAAAATTGAAAATACTCTACATTAATTCACACTTAAAGTTTATGTATTTCTTCTTATAGAATGCTGGGAAAAAGCAGTCATTGACATGCGTATAAGAACAAAAAATAAAATGCCTTTTCCCCAACCATTCTGCAGCATATCTTTCTTTATGTTCAACAAAGAAAGAACAGTGGAAAGAAAACATTTTATTTTTAGGTGAACTATATGCCATTATAAGCATATGCTCTTGTTTAATAATATGATCATCAGGTTTCATTTTTGAACTCATCAGATTCTAATACAATTTTTAACAATTCATTCACTGGCTTTGTCTTTCTGTAGTAAAGCAATTATCAGTATTAATGAATGTCGTCTAAATGTTAGCATGTGCAATCTCTATTAAATTGAATTTGTCCCAGGGGTTCAGGCCTTATTACAAAACTCTCCACTGTCGTTCATGCTATTAGATAACAGCACAGAGGTCATTGTAGCTGATTGATGGAATAGAGCTTTCACGCATCGAAGAACAAACGAATTCTCAGAAGGATTAAACCGACGTTCATATTTAGCTTTACCCCTACAGACAGAATAAAAAATAGACAAAACACTTAAGGATATAAAAAGGCTTAGAACTTCCACTCTGTCTTATGAGATACTACAAATATGACTTTATTTGGGGATCACCAATCAGATTATGACGTTTAACACGTGACTTTGTATTTCTATTCATAAATAACTGAAAAAAGTATATCTATGCAACACCTTTTGAATTTCTAATTTTAAATTCATTAAGGTTTAGTTTACTTTGGCTTTGGTTGACACATGAGACACGGGTTTTGTTATAGCAGTTGTGTCGTGCCACCTAGTGGACTATGCTCAGAATGACATCTTGTGTTGGACTAAATTTACTTTCCAATTTACCGTTTTCTATACTATGGAAAAAAATCAACATGATTGTTTTGTAGAAATTAAAATCTTATGGTGACTGTGAAAACTGTATTATAAATAAGTTATGATTTATTATTTGTGTAGCAAATTAACCCAATAACCCAAACTATTTATGACAAAATACTACTACTACTACTACTACTACTACTACTACTACTACTACTACTACTACTAATAATACTAATTATTATTATTATTATTATTATTATTATTATTATTATTATTATTGTTATTATTAAAATGTCTATGTAATGCTAAAATTTAACATTACATTTTTAACAATGACAAAGCTTAAAAAAACAAATTATACTTTGAGTGTTAATAGAAAGAATAGCCTAAAACAAACAAATTTTGTTTGCTAGGTGGTCAGAAAAATAAATTTAAAAACAGCAACAACAGCAACACCTGATTTTAAATGTCTTTAGGTATAGATCAAATCAAAAGTGTAACAATAAAATTAGGCTATTTAATTATTATAACCAAAAACAAAACACAATTACTTTTT